AAATATACTTTAATTTTTGCTGTCATTTTTATTAGAACTTGTACAGTATGTCATGCATTTAAGTATATTTGTAATTTAAAATTTTTAATGATGGAGCAATTTGGTAATTTTTAAGTACACTCAAGTGGATCGTTTTCATTTAATATATTATCTAAAGTGCAGTTTTAAAAAAAAAAAAATCTTTGAGTGCATTGCCAGTGATCATTCATACAATTAAAGGGTTAGTTCACCCGAAAATGAAAATTAGGCTGTGTTTTACTCACCCCCGAGGCAGCCTAGGTATATATGGCTTTCTTCTTTCAGACGAATCCAGTCGGAGTTATATTAAAAATTGTCTTTGATCTTTCAAGCTGTTTAATGCCAAAAAGAACCGTTATACACAATTCATAACGTTTTTGTAAGAAAAATATCCATATTCAAAACGTAATAATCACTTTAATGTAGCTTGCGCCAACAGTTGTACACAGAAGCAGTTCCGGGAGCATAACGTATGAGGTTAGCGTTGAGCATGCGCCGGTGAGTCTCGTGAAAACCAATGTTTGTTTACAGGATTGAAATTTTCATGTTTAAGTCAATGTGTTACTTGCCATTACTTTGTAATTAGTAGAAACAGTTTCAAAGCCAATTTGTTTTTCAGTGTACCTCTAAGACGCCTATAGACGCTAAATATTAAATTATCCATTTTATGGTTAACTAATTTGGCATAGTGGTTTAGTTCACACTGTTGTTTGTCAGGGCAGGCCAATGTGCTGAATACTGAGTAGGTGTTATGTAAATGTGGGTGGTCATATGTTAATGTGATTATTGCTGTGATGTCATAACCATGATGATTTAACGTTTTTGCAGCTTAGTTTTCATAAAAGGGCTGAATGATGTGCTTTGCAACTGTTTATTTATTTCAAAAGAGCAAGAAAAATAATTTTTTTCATGATATGTACCATCTAACATTTTGCACAACCACTTATAAGTGGCAGTGTTCGGTGACCTCTGACAAGATACGGGCCGTGCAGCTTTAAATGAGCTCCAGTCAGAGCAACGGAGCGGACTGTGACACCGCTGATAACCTCCATCACATCCTCCTCTCCCCACTGGGTCAGAAAGGCCACGACCAGCCCACCTCTGCCCCACCAAACGCTCGCTCATAAAGGTCAAGGCTGCGACCCTCCTTTGCAGGGCTTAATCTCTACAGGTTAGCACGTTACTCTGGGAACCTAATTTGGATAATATTGTAATGAATGCTGATAAAATACAAAAGATTAAAAGAATTGTGCTTTGAAGTCGAGCTCCTCTCCCTGTTGGAGAAAAGTACATATTGACTTTAGAGGTTTGAGGCTTTTTGATGTTCTCTTTGACTTGCGAGACCTGCGCTCCAGTAATTAGAATGATTGGGGCCGCACCAGCGGAAGCTGCATGTGCTTATGGGTAAAAGTGTTTCGAGGATTTAAATGCACCGGGCCATAGGCCTGCTTCCGTTGCAGTCATGCACTGTGGTACGAAAGCACACAGACTTATCTATAGCATGCAAAGATTGCATTTGCATTTGTGTCTTTAGCCTGCAGTTGAAGATTTTTAATCATAGGCTTCATCAGAGGTGTATAACGGTTCTCTTAAAGTTATAAACAATTATTCTTCCAGAAACGTTAATAGAACATTGATTTAAAGTTATCTGATTTTTAATAACACTGTCAAAACGTTAGCACAAAAACTTTATTTAAGCATTGTTCATGGAATGTTTTTTCTTTTTTTCTGTCTAACGTTTTTTAAATGTTGCTACCTACTACTTTCAGATGGTTCAGAAAACATTCAGAAGTAATATTCCCATAATGTTTGCAAAATTATAAAATGCAAGGTTCTCTTAATGTTTTCTCTAACTGAACTAAACTAAAATTTGAAGCATTTAAAAGACTGGTCATTTTAAATGTTCAGAGAACATTCATAAATAACGTTTTCATGACTTATTGAGAATGTTAGAAAACATTCTTTGAACATGTTTTAAAAAAACATATTATTCATGTAATGTTTTACGGAAACATTTTAATTGTTTGTTATTTTATTTTGTCTAACATTTTTTTAAACATTTAAAATAACATTTTTGTAACTTGATAGGAACGTTAGAAAAACATTCTTAGAACACAATTTGTTAAAAACTATTTCTGCACCGTTCTTGGAATTTTGTTTTCTGAAACATTTTAATTGATAGTTATTTAATTTGTTTAAAGTATTTTAAATGTTGCTACTTGCTAGTTTCAGAAGTGACATTCACATAATGTCTGCACAATTATGCAGTGGAACATTCTTTTTATGTTTTTTCTAATGTTCATATAACCAAGAAAAATACACTTAAAAAACTGGACATTTTAAATGTTCACAAAACATTCAGAGATACTGTTTTCATAACTTAATGGGATTGTTAGCAATTTGCATTCTTTAAATACTTTTATTTGCTAGCTGGGCATGTTGCATGTCTGCAAGTGACATTATTGTGAAGTATTGCAGATTTTGGCTATTGTGCTCCACTTGATTTTAGTGAAAAAGAAACTCTCATTCAGTGCATCTTGATAAGATACTGCTCAGTATCAAACAGGTGCCAAATTGAATGTTTTGCAGACAATGCATCCAGAAGGATGAAAGCTTTTAAGCTTTATCGCAGTTTATGATACACCCCGAAGATAAGGCATGGACAGCATTCATGTGTTTCTGAAGAAAACTGTTGAAATTCCAAGGCTATCAATGACACACCTCAATTCAACAAACCCTAGACTCTAGAGAGGGCCTAGAGAATAGCAAAAGTTACCATAGAGTCATTCATCTCCAGTGCTTATGATAACTCCAAGTCTTGCATTCATTTGAAGGAATAGTTCAACAAAGAAATTGTCATTATTTGCTCACCATCATGTCATTCCAAACCTGTATGACTTTCTTTATTGTGTGGAACACAAAAGGAACACACTTTGATGAATGTCTGAGCTGCTGTTTTCAATATGACAAACATATATTGTGCTTTTTTCTGTTAAGTTCCACTAATGGGATAAAAAGCACAAAAAAAAGTACATTTAAAGGCCAGTTCACACCAAAGATGATAATTATATTGATAACTATGACTATAAAGTTTTAATAATCGTTCTAATTCTAAAACACTACACAATGCAATGCGTCATTCAAAATATGGGGTAAAACACCTGGGGAAAAAATCATTACGGAATATTCCTTCATATTAATAGTACTTTGGGCCATATTTTTATAGACTTTTCTTAGAGTCTAGTTCACGTCTCATGCTTTCTTAAGTAATAGGATAACTTTGTATGAAAAACAGACGTCAGTATTTGCCTAAAATCTTTCCTTTCCACTCTCAAATCTCATTTGCACTTCTACTCAAACATATTGTATGACTTTTGAAGATTTTGAATATAGCACACAAGAACTTTAAGTGCTTATTTGTCTTGTTTGAAGCTTGAAAATGTCTCCTCTAGTGCTCCTCTGGACACACAGAGGTGTGGAATAACATGGAGGTCAGTAAATGACTGAATTTTAATTTTTGGGGAAACTATTTCATTAACAGAAAACGGACATGTTGATCCTCTGTCTTTCTCTTTTAACCCCCCTCTTCTCTGTTTGTCTTCTCAACTCTCCCTGTCTTTGTCCTCTCTCTGTCTCTCGCGGGGGGGGGAAATTGCAGGCTTTTTTTTTTACAGTAGCACAGGTTGTCGTGTTTGTTTAGACAGTCTCCATTGTGTCTGTCTCCTCGCCAAGCTGTTGATAGGATGAGCCCATCAATACATCTGTTTCAACGGCTGGTCATTAGCAGGGGCTTTATTGTGCTGCAGGTTTAGGCACTGAGAGGTAGGGGACAGTGTTTGCCCGGCCTTCCCCGCACCCACCGGCCCAGGGATCCTTCAGTCTCACGACACACCGCTGCTGAGTAGGTGCTGAGTTGGAGACAATAGAATAAATTGGATCCCCCTCACACTGAGTTTCTCCTTGTGTGCACACGAACCAATGAATGAAGTTCAGTTGGAGTTCAGATGGTTATCTGTCTGACATTGGCGATGAAGAAAAGTTAAGTTCTGCCTGATCTGAAGTAGAGAAAACAATGAAATGAGCCCATAAATATGAAATGATGTTATTTAATGTTTGATTGCTCTTCATTAGACCAGTATGCTCTACGTGACAGTAGGAGGAACATTTCTGTAGAAGAAGACTGTAGTTATAAATTGTGCTTCAGAGGCATTCAGAGGTTAATGCATAAATATTATGTATTAATTTCAGCTTTTTCCCCTTTTTTTAAGTTAGGAAACAATAAAGTAGATGTTAATTAATAAATATTATGTACCAATTTCAGCTGTTTTTATTTATGTAGTATTTATTTGCATTATTTCTTTTCTTTTCTTTTTCCTTTTGCTATTGGTCAACTCATATTGACTGCGCTAATTCTCCTCATGGAATTCTTTGTAGGTTTAGTTAGGAGACAAAGTAAATAATCAATATTATCTATTCATTTAAACTATTTTTACTTATGCATTATTTATTTTCCTTTTTTATTTAAATCAGTATTTTTGTGGGTCCCCTTTTTTTAAGTTAGGAAACAATAAAGTAGATGTTAATTAATAAATATTATGTACCAATTTCAGCTGTTTTTATTTATGTAGTATTTATTTGCATTATTTCTTTTCTTTTTCCTTTTGCTATTGGTCAACTCATATTGACTGCGCTAATTCTCCTCATGGAATTCTTTGTAGGTTTAGTTAGGAGACAAAGTAAATAATCAATATTATCTATTCATTTAAACTATTTTTACTTATGCATTATTTATTTTCCTTTTTTATTTAAATCAGTATTTTTGTGGGGGGTTTTCGCTATTGGTAAAACCCATATCAGCTGTGCTATTCTCCTCATGTACTACAACTCTTTGTGCTTCCTAAAGTTTAGTTCTGTCCATACATGAATAGTGTGTTGTAACCGAGCTCGATATGATCTGACATGCCTTTCTCCAATCTCTACAGCCTGAGGAGGAGCTTCAGGACGCTCAGAGAGAACGAGATAAAGCTTTGCTGCACAGTCACACTCTGGAAGAGGAGCTGCAAGCCTTACGCAGGTATCACAGGTGAACCACCTCACCTTACACTGCACAGTAACTCCTTAAACCACTCACTTGATGCATTTGACAGTTTGGTTGAGTTGTGGCAGAGCATGAACCTGCTGTGACATGCCTTAATGAACTTGCAAATAAACAAAGGTGCAGGGCAAGGTGTTCTGGAGGATTGTAATAATTCAGGTGATGGATAATGTGTTGGTGTTTGTGCAGGAATTAGGAGAAAGCCTTTGCATGGCATTCCTGAGGTGGGGAATCAGGTGGGCTTTGTTTTAGAGGGTCCAGTCCATCATCTCTGGAATCTGGAGGTTTATGCATGTCACAAGAATCATTGTTGCAGCCTGGGAGCTCATAAACGTAACTTTGTTTCTCATCCAATTCTCAGAAATTGCCAGCCTATCACATTGGAGTTTGCCATTTTAGAGACCACTTACCATTTTTTTGTGCAATAAATTTGAGGTGATCTGAGGTTAAGAATAGTACCGTTGTTCACCTACACTCTTAAAAATAAAGGTTCTTTATTAGCATCTATGGTTCCATGAAGAGCATTTAACAACCAATGAACCTTTCAATTGTACAAAAGGTTCTTTATAGTGGAAAAGTTTTTTTTAGATTACTAAAATGGTCTTCACACTGAAAAATGGTTCTTTTTAAGAACTGTTCACTAAAAGGTTCTTTGGGGAACCCAAAATGGTTCTTTTACAAACCTATTCTTTTCTAAACCTTTATTTTGGAGAAGTGTAGGTACGTTATTAAACAGTATGAACCTACTTTTTTTTCTTGTTTAGCCCCTTTTGGTCATGTGTTTGACAGCCAGTAGCAGTAGAATATTTGTTAATGAGGTTGTTTCTCTATCAAAAAACTTTTATAATTAAAAAAAGACCCTCATTACATGTCACTCATTTCACCTAATTCCATTACTGTGCTTCTGATTGAAGCAGAAAGCTCAGAAAGCTCAAAGAGTCATCATCATCCAGCTTTATAACAGATTATGAACACTGAAACGGGCTTTTATGTGTTTTGTTTGCTTTGCCCAGAAAAAAATTAATCACTCGACTTAAGTGCAGTGAGTCATTAGATTACCGCAAACTCATGATCTCAAAAGGATTGGAGCGTTCGTGAAGTTGTGATCTCGAGCCACGTCTCCTGCAGACGCTGTCAGAGGTCTGTCCACGCAAAAAAGCCTCCAGAGGCACCAACTGCAAACGTTTCAGCACCACCTAACATCTGATTGTTTTGGCCTGCAAGTTGAACTCTGTGCTTATTTAAGGTTTTATTCAAAATGATAGTCAGGGTCTTAAATAATCAAACCAAAGCATTCCCAGTGGCCGCGATGGACTACCGCAGACCCACCCTCCCCGGTTCCTGTCTTCCAGCCAGAGGGCTTGTTTGCTTTACTTGGGGTTTATCTGTCAGTGAGGACGGCTTTGATAGACGATATGGAGTGAATATATTTGGCTCATAAACTGGCCATGCTGGTTAAGTGAGGTGCATCCGGTTTCACAGAGACGTACATCCGTGTGTATCAAGGACTTTCCATTTGCATTCATCACATCTTATTAGATCTCTTCCGCAGCTCGTTGTGCATGATTGCATGTTTGTGTTTCACTCCAAAAGGGTTTTACCACCCAATCACGCCATAGGAAAACTTTTGCTAACACTTTGCAATAAGGTTCAATTTGTTCAGTAGGTATTTTTTAACCTTTTTTTTTTTACAGCATTTATTCTTCTATTAATTTATAAATTTTTAACATTTTAAGTTGGATAAATTAACATTAGTCAATGTTTTATGGACAGACATGGATTAACAATTAACAATAGGACACTACTGTTCAAAAGTTTGAAGTTGTTAAGATTTTTTTAATGTTTATTCTCACCAAGGCTGCATTTATTAGATTTAAAAAAAAAGGTAATATTGTGAAATATATTTTATATATATATATATATATATATATATATATATATATATATATATATATATTTTTTTTTTTTAATATTTCTGTGGAAACCTTGATACATTTTTATAAGGATTCTTTAATGAATAGAAAGAACAGAATTTGTTTAAAATATAAGAAATAATTATTTGAAATATAATTGATTTATTATAATTCAATTTATTTTATTTATATTTATAATTTATTTATATAATTTGTTTAACATAATAAGGGTTTTTACCGCTACTTTTGATCAATTTAATGCATCCTTGCTGAGTAAAAGTATTAATTTTTGTGAACAAATCTTGAAAAAATCTTAAAAAATGGAACCATATTTTAAAGTGCTACCAAACTTCTGTTAAGGTCTATTAAGACCTATTCTTTAGTTCCTTAAAAAATTATACAGAAAATAACACGCTTATCTGAAGAACAGTTTTTTGTTCTGAAGAACTTTTTAACCTCCAAAAAACTTAATCTGAGAGGAGAGTTCTCTCTCTTGTAGTCTTTTCTGTCTGCCCCAGCAGGAGGAGGAGAAGGTACACATTGTATTTCCTCAGACAATCTGCATTGTGAGCGTCAGGGTGTCTAGCACTGGTCCCCAGCCCCTGCCAATGTGGCTGCAGCGCTGAACCTTTAAAAGGAGAATCCTCCAGGCCCAACAAAGGCCAGAGTATAGCTGCGTGTGTTTGCTCTCAGGATTGCCCGACCACCTCCATTGTGTCTTTTAGGATAACAGACAGTCTGTGTCACGTGAAAGGGCAGCGAACAGATGAGAGAGAGAATGGGGTGGCAGAAAAAAATGTCTGCGGCATGAACCTCAGGCTCTGATAGAACTGGCTCCGGATAGTGCAGCGTACACACGCTCCCCGCTGATAAAGAGAAACACTTAGGGAATTTTGTTCACTTGGGGTGGGTTGTTTTAATGGGTTATCATTGGCCGGCCAGTGAAGGAGAGGTTAGACTGTGAGTTTAAGGTGCTTTGTTTGAGCGTCAGGAGGGAGGCAGCGCTGGATAGACATGTATTAACACCACAGGTCCCCATACGGTCCAACTCCCCAGTGATCACTCATTATCACACATGCTAACAGCTCGACCTGTCAACACTTGCAGCTCGATAGTCATTAGCAGATACAACGTACACATACATGAGCTCTCTTTTTCCAATACTCTTGCACTACACACAAGCCAAAGAGCCCGGTTTCGATTTTCAGCTCAAATCTGAATTTTTATTTATTTTTTTCCAGGTTTTTCACATGACCTTTTAAATCTGACCCACTAGTCTGAATGGTCCTAAACTAACCTGTAAGCATAAAACAACCTGCCCTGACAAGTTCATAAAAAAAATCATCATTAATATTATATTATGTTTTGTTATTTTATGAAGTTCAAAGAAATTCATAAACATCTATGGATTAGCATACATATTAGCATTAAATCTTATTGTTAATGCTAATATGTATTACATTATATAATAAAATTAGCATATAAATGATATATATACATATATTTTATAGTTTTTAAAATATTTTATAATATATATTTGTGATTTTCTATGTTTTTAAATATTTATTACATATTTATTATAATGTATATATAAACTAAAATAAATAAACACACACACACATATATACTGTGTGTATATATATATATATAAATGTGTTTTTCATTTATTTTTTATTTCTTTTATTTTTTTATTAATGATGGCAAAGCTTCATCAGAATTAAAAAAATATATATATGATTTATTTGGAATAGAAATCTTTTATAACATTCTAAATGTTTTTTTCTGTAATTTTTGATCAATTTAATGTGAGATATACATACATATATAAACCGATTTGAGCCACAGTCTTTTGCGGAGTCTTTCTCTCATTTTGGTGTTTGATATTTGTGTTTATTATTAACTTTGTATATGAGGTAACACAGTAGCAAGTTGTCTGATCTCTGTAAAGATTTCTAATCATTCATCTCTCAGCGAACTGATTATCAGTTGCATTTATTTCCATTTTCTTGTGTTTTCCCCCTTTCATTCAAACCCCCACCGATTGAGCTGAAATGACTTATTCTCAGAAATCCTTGGATGTTGATAACACCAGTAGTTATGCCAAATTGCTAGATGGAAACTTTGAATTTATGTGATATTTATAACGCCTGTGGCATTAACAGACTTTATCCCCAAAACAGAGCAAACTGCAGTCACTGCATTAGCCGTCTTCACTGTTCTGTGCAGCAAAATACATTTTGTAGATTGCATAGAACCCCTCCCAGCAAGCAGTGGCTGCTTTATCCAAATGCACAGCAGCGTTCCTGCCCAGGCACAGCGCAAGAAATTCTCTTTTTTTCATGAACGAGTGATCACAACTTTGGTGTTTGTGTTCGCCATTGGGCATGTTCTCTTATTTCTGTGTTCTATTGAGGAAACGAGACATATTGAAACAACCACGGCCTTTATCAGCAGCTGTCAGCATGAGTGATTGGTGTAAGGAATGCTTGACAGTGGGACGTTGTCTGGAGTTAGTTTATATCCACATCAGGTTGCTATAGACACCTGTCAGTAGAATGTCTGTCTCTGCTTTGGCTGCGGTCTCTATGTACTTTTTTTTGCATGTAGATAAATGCTCTCTATTAAAAGGTTATTTTACATTTCCCATCTGATAGCATTTTGTGGTGGTGTTAATGTTTAACTGGCCTGTAGAGTTAAAAGGCCAGGTTCGTTGGGATTCCACCCCTGTGATCAGGTATCTTACGGTTCTGGTTAAAGTTTAACAGAGTCCTCAGGTCGCCTCTCTGGAAACCTTTATAACTAGACCAACAAACACTGTTTTTAACAAGTAGCATATGCTTGGTTGAATGCAATGAATAGAATTTAGAGTTAATTAGTATTTCTTTTATTAAGGGGTCGCTGTTACTGTTGCTCATACTTAAAGGAATAGTTCACCCAAAAAAGAAAATTTGCTGATAATTTACTCTACCACAGGCCATCCAAGATATAGATGAGTTTGTTTCTTCATCAGAAAAGATTTAGAGAAATTTAGCATTACGCCATTTGCTCACCACTGGATCCTCTGCAGTAAATGTGTGCTGTCAGAATGAGAATACAAACAGAAGATAAAACAACATCACAATAATCCACACCACTCCAGTCCATCAATTAATGTCTTGTGAAGAGAAAAGCTGCATGTTTGTAGTAAATAAATTCTTAACAAATATGTGGGTGGATTTTGATGTGAGAGGACAATAGTGGATGGACTTTTTCACTGGAGGAAGTGTTATGGATTATGGACTCAAAAAGCCAAAAGTAACTGTAAAGTTAAAACGTCTTAATTATGGATTTGTTTCTTTAAAAACATGCAGCTTTTCACTTCACAAAATGATGGACTGGAGTGGTGTGGATTACTTGTGGATTATTGTGATGTTTTATCAGCTGTTTGGACTCTCATTCTGACGGCACCCATTCACTGATCCTTTGGTGATATAATGTTAAATTTCTCTAAATCTGTTCTGAAGAGAAAAACTCTTTATTTAGTCAGTTTTTCAGTAAATGTTAATTCTTATATGTACACTCTTAAAAATAATGGTTCTTAATTATAACTATGGTTCAATGAAGAACCTTTAACATCCATCCAATCTTTCCATTGCATAAAAGGTTCTTTGTAGTGGAAAAAGGTTATTTGGGTTATTAAAATATTCTTTGCACTAATTAAAAAAAAAATGGTTATTTTACAAACAGTTCACTGAAAGGTTCCTTGTGGAACCCAAAATGGTTCTTCTATGCCATTGCTGCAAACCCTTTTGAACCTTTATTTTTTAAGAGTTTAGAATAATCACATATAATTTCACACATCTATCACAGCTTCTATTTAAACTGAGAACTGTGTAGTAGACGGGTTGCGTTTATATGCCTGTTTATGGAAATCCAGCATACTAGCATCTCCATTCCTCTGAGCGGGACAGGAACGTCATATATCCTACTATATTCATCCTCATAAAGTAGGGACCAGTATGGACCAGTTGTGTCTGTGAGGGGGTGGGCGGACTTAGATAAGATAATCCATAGTGTGGCAATGCTTCTCTGCCCTTGTTTGTCACTGTCATTGGACCTTTGTACCTAATATGTTTGCATTTAATTAAACAAAGCACACAAATTTACATCACTTTCTCGACCATCAATATCGCATCAGAATTGATTACCTCCTGCCTTAAAAAAATAAAAGAAGAGCCTGACATGGAAACCTTCCTGGAACTAATTAGCAAGACTGAATGAGTAATATGACTTTAGGGCAACAACACACAGGCACATTGGCTAAAGACAAAAGCTGCTGCCAATCAATCTTGATGTCTCTGTCACTATAGACACATGCAAGCATGTGAGCCAGACAGACGTTTTGTATTGTCAGCTAATCGTGGCATTGTACTAAATGCATTGTTTCCCTGGCTAATATGAATGCCCACTTAATAGCGCTGAGGTTTGCTGTATGTCTGTGGTCGCAGGTGTGCGCGATGTACCTGTGTGTGTGTGTGTGTGTGTGTGTGTGTTATTACAGCCGTTCATATTGTTTCTGCTTGAATAAAAAGGGGAGCAGGTGTTATCATTATTTAGGTCTGATATTGACATCTCCGTGCTCTTTGTGTCATATTAAAGCATATAAGTCCTCTGCAGTTTGTTGACAGCTTTTTAAGCACCTTTAAGCATAGAAAATTATAAGGGGAGACAAAATTACTTTTCGTTTGACAGACGATAAAACAGGTGACAAAATCTATTAGACGTACAGTTCGTAACCACACAGCAACCAAGGAAGTCTATCCACCTTATTTTGCAAGAAAGATTATTACCCGCTATAGGTAATTAACTAGAAAAATAACTAGGTGCAGTCAAACTTAGTTTGCACTATACACCTGTCTGTTTATGATTGTGATAATCAATTCAAATATTATGATAACAAATACCAATTTGCAATATAAAGCACTATAACAGACTGTTTTTGTACAGGTAAAATAATTGGAAGCAAATTAAACGTCTCATGAATGAAACTATAACTATAAACATAAAGATAAAAAAAAAAAGCATTCTAAGCTTAAAAGAATAGTAGAGTTCACACCACAAATATAACAATAATGGCACAGAGGAACAATGTCATTGAAGTCACTTTCAAAATGAGCTTTTCCAGCTGATGAACAATAAAAAGGTTAAAGGTACAATATGTAAGTTTTCACCGCTAGAGGGCGCGTATTCAAAACAAACAGACAAACAAAGAAGCAAAGGCGTAGTTTGATGACGCCGTGACTGGGTGTGGAATCATGGGCGTTGTCGTCTTCATCCCCACAGCCGAAGCAATCCGACGGGACTCAGGCACAATCCATGTTCATGGATGAGCTAATGTATTAAAGATTTATTAACATCGTAGTATGAAACAGAGTGAGGCGGAAAGCCGTCGAAGTGAAACGAGGCCGCTGAAGCAATTGCTAATGAGCGACGAGAGTGACACATGGCTCGAAAGCAGCGGAGCTTTTATTATGCCACACTTTAGCGCTTTGGCTCCTTCTGGTCGTGCGTATGTGGGGTAAAGCAGCGCTGTTTTATCATACTAGATACGTTTGAAAGTTCTGTTAAAATGCTACTCTGTGCTGTCGTCACCTGTCTAATAAAACGCACAACATATTAAAGAGTCTTTGGTGTTTCCATGTTTTCTACAAAACCGAAAATCGAGGGTGTATGACGTCATTGGCAGGCGACACAATGACACTATAGACACGGCCCGTGTCACTAGTTAAAATTGCTTATTTCTCTGGATTTAAACATTCTTCGAAACATTTGGGCATTTGGGATAACACGAGTCAGCAAAATATATAACACTGTTCTAGTGGTTTTCGGATATTTTAATAAAAAAATCTTACATTCTTACATATTAATAGCCAATCAGCTGGAAGTGAATGACACCGGAAGCCTCGCAATTTCAAGTTACAAATGGCCTCACCCTCTCTTACTGCTGCATGCAGCTCTGAAAGCACACAACCATCTTTGCACATTGGCACAGGCATTTTATGAGCGCAATCACCTGAACTGTAAATGCCATGTCAAATACAGGAATGCCTTGGCAACACTTCAGCATTTTGGGTGGCTTTGTTTTGCACAGGAAAACTGCATCATGTTTTCATTAGAAATGTTTATCGTTTAAAACGTCTGTTTTCTCAAGAAGTTGATTTGTTTTTTTTTTGTGACAGTTAGCGGCATTTCAATTTATGACGATTACTTCATAGGAGCTTTTGGCGGTGTACAGTTGGTTAGACTGATATGTATCTCTAATCGTCGCCCCTACCCTTCCGTTTTTATCTTGACCCTCGTTATCTCACGCCTTGTTGAAAAACACCTGTCTGAATTTCACCTCGAGTTGGATGCAGCGCCATGAGAGCGCTAATGTATTCCGCTGACATTCTGAGGAATTATTAGCCCCAGATATTGTTTCTTGTACTGACATTCCGTTTTGAATATTAGATGTGTCTGTTGATATAGAGTTATGATTCCCACCTCCAGGTAAACTGCAAGCATGCTCTCACTGTTTCTGGGTCAGGTTTCACGTTTGTAAGAAATGTGACCATTGGCTTTTATGAAACATGAGCCTGATGCTACACCGTCAGTCAGCCGTTATATTGTTCTTGTAATTTTGATGATTGTCTTTCCTGAGGATCTATTGAAGTGTGCGATGAATAACAAAGATATGTAGTTTTGTAGGTTAAAATTGGCATTAAAATTGGTATTACTTGGAAATTAACACACTTACAAATTCGGTTCAGTTCATTTTAGTTAATATTTTTTTCATTCATAAACAATCATATAATCTATGTTGCCTACTGAAAACATAGTAACCTAAACATATAAATTACCCGGTCAAGTTAAAAATTAGTTAATATTGCTGAATCAACCTAAATACATTAATTTCTACCAACAAAACTCATTTTTATGGGTTAAATCAGGTAGATATAGCTCTAAAAGTTAGCAAATGCAGTTAACCACTTTTTAGAGTGTAAGTTTTGTTGATAAAATGTAGATGTTATAGTTGAAATTACTGTTTGTTGGGTTTTTTTAATGCAAAACTTGGCCCATTCATAATCTGTGCCCTTTTTCACATTATTTTATATTGAATAAAGTGGAAAATATGCTGAATTCTGCTGAATGAACTTAAATATGGTAAACTCTTAATGGTTAAAAGTATTATAAAATTATCCATTTTATATTTTATTGAAGCAACAAAAACATTTCAAAATGCAATTATTAAAAAATATATAAGTAGTAGTTAAAATTTTTGAATACTGACATAAGATTTGGTAGCACTTCTTATAAGCAGCCAAGTGAACATGGCCAATTCATGAATCACTCTATCACTAATTACACTTAGGTATCAAAACTGTTTTTGTGTTTTCAGTGTGTTGCAGCATCAGGCTGGTGAGACCAATCTGGACGTTCCTGCCACCTCGAGCCAGAGCCAGAGCCAGATTCAGCCCCTGCTGAACCGTCTGCAGCAGCTGACAGCAGAATTTCAGAGCGCTCAGACCCAACTATGTCTGACCCAGGAGAGAGAGAGGGAGGCCAATGAGAAAGTGCAGAGGTGAGTACAGACACATGCACGGTCTGTTTTTACATGGGAAAGTTTAATTAACATACCAAAATCATGTTAAACTACCAGTCTATATATATATATATATATATATATATATATATATATTTATTTGATCTTACTGACTCTTAGTCTGTGCACAGGGCAAACATGCAGACATGCAAACAGGAAGTCTGGAGACTCAAGCTGAGGCTCTGAAGAGCCAGCTGGTCCAGAAAGCCTTTACAATCCCTGGCTAAGACGAGCTCTTGTGCCTCAGCTGGTAGCTGAGGTCAAATCTGACCTGGCATCGACCAAAGCCAGAGCGGCGGCTATGGAGGCCCAGCAGACACCAGGTAGAGGGCCTTGATCTGGGAGGCGACGACCAAGACTATGGAACAGATTTTAGAGCCTGGTGACTCTAATTCAGTAGTGACACCAGCTGGATACCTGACAGGAAGTCGGTGAGGAATTGACCCGGGAGCAGCGGGAATGAGCCGGGACCCAGATGGAGCAGCTCAGAGGTGTGAATACAGTGACACGACCTGTTCTTGAGTAGAGTAGCACTTAACAATCTCTTTATGACAGCTACAATATTTATTTCTCAGACTATGCATTAAAATGAAGAATGAGAATAGGAAATGCAGGGGTAACGAGGTGAATTTTCTCTTGACATGTGAAGTAAAGATATACATGCTGTTTATTTATTTTTTGCTCCATTTATCTTCCCTTCGAGTTTATTTTCTCACCTTCCTGTCTCTTACCATTAAGACTGTTTTTAATTGAACTATAACACTGTAGTCTCATTTAATTTTGCTTGGTACATATTTTAATTTAATTTATGTCAATGTCACCGCAGTCATGAAGGCCAGACTGAATTCCAGCAAGAGCAGAGTCAGTAAATGCAGATGGAGAAAGCTGGTAATGAGAGAGTGCAAAAATGAGGCTCTGCTTTGATAAGATGTTTACACTGAAGTGTGTGTGTGTGTGTGTGTGTGTGTGTGTGTGTGTGTGTTATTACAGCCGTTCATATTGTTTCTGCTTGAATAAAAAGGGGAGCAGGTGTTATCATTATTTAGGTCTGATATTGACATCTCCGTGCTCTTTGTGTCATATTAAAGCATATAAGTCCTCTGCAGTTTGTTGACAGCTTTTTAAGCACCTTTAAGCATAGAAAATTATAAGGGGAGACAAAATTACTTTTCGTTTGACAGACGATAAAACAGGTGACAAAATCTATTAGACGTACAGTTCGTAACCACACAGCAACCAAGGAAGTCTATCCACCTTATTTTGCAAGAAAGATTATTACCCGCTATAGGTAATTAACTAGAAAAATAACTAGGTGCAGTCAAACTTAGTTTGCACTATACACCTGTCTGTTTATGATTGTGATAATCAATTCAAATATTATGATAACAAATACCAATTTGCAATATAAAGCACTATAACAGACTGTTTTTGTACAGGTAAAATAATTGGAAGCAAATTAAACGTCTCATGAATGAAACTATAACTATAAACATAAAGATAAAAAAAAAAAGCATTCTAAGCTTAAAAGAATAGTAGAGTTCACACCACAAATATAACAATAATGGCACAGAGGAACAATGTCATTGAAGTCACTTTCAAAATGAGCTTTTCCAGCTGATGAACAATAAAAAGGTTAAAGGTACAATATGTAAGTTTTCACCGCTAGAGGGCGCGTATTCAAAACAAACAGACAAACAAAGAAGCAAAGGCGTAGTTTGATGACGCCGTGACTGGGTGTGGAATCATGGGCGTTGTCGTCTTCATCCCCACAGCCGAAGCAATCCGACGGGACTCAGGCAGAATTCATGTTCATGGATGAGCTAATGTATTAAAGATTTATTAACATCGTAGTATGAAACAGAGTGAGGCGGAAAGCCGTCGAAGTGAAACGAGGCCGCTGAAGCAATTGCTAATGAGCGACGAGAGTGACACATGGCTCGAAAGCAGCGGAGCTTTTATTATGCCACACTTTAGCGCTTTGGCTCCTTCTGGTCGTGCGTATGTGGGGTAAAGCAGCGCTGTTTTATCATACTAGATACGTTTGAAAGTTCTGTTAAAATGCTACTCTGTGCTGTCGTCACCTGTCTAATAAAACGCACAACATATTAAAGAGTCTTTGGTGTTTCCATGTTTTCTACAAAACCGAAAATCGAGGGTGTATGACGTCATTGGCAGGCGACACAATGACACTATAGACACGGCCCGTGTCACTAGTTAAAATTGCTTATTTCTCTGGATTTAAACATTCTTCGAAACATTTGGGATAATGTAAGAACACAAGTCAGCAAAATATATAACACTGTTCTAGTGGTTTTCGGATATTTTAATAAAAAAATCTTACATATTGTGCCTTTAATAGCCAATCAGCTGGAAGTGAATGACACCGGAAGCCTCGCAATTTCAAGTTACAAATGGCCTCACCCTCTCTTACTGCTGCATGCAGCTCTGAAAGCACACAACCATCTTTGCACATTGGCACAGGCATTTTATGAGCGCAATCACCTGAACTGTAAATGCCATGTCAAATACAGGAATGCATTGGCAACACTTCAGCATTTTGGGTGGCTTTGTTTTGCACAGGAAAACTGCATCATGTTTTCATTAGAAATGTTTATCGTTTAAAACGTCTGTTTTCTCAAGAAGTTGATTTGTTTTTTTTTTGTGACAGTTAGCGGCATTTCAATTTATGACGATTACTTCATAGGAGCTTTTGGCGGTGTACAGTTGGTTAGACTGATATGTATCTCTAATCGTCGCCCCTACCCTTCCGTTTTTATCTTGACCCTCGTTATCTCACGCCTTGTTGAAAAACACCTGTCTGAATTTCACCTCGAGTTGGATGCAGCGCCATGAGAGCGCTAATGTATTCCGCTGACATTCTGAGGAATTATTAGCCCCAGATATTGTTTCTTGTACTGACATTCCGTTTTGAATATTAGACACATTATTTTATATTGAATAAAGTGGAAAATATGCTGAATTCTGCTGAATGAACTTAAATATGGTAAACTCTTAATGGTTAAAAGTATTATAAAATTATCCATTTTATATTTTATTGAAGCAACAAAAACATTTCAAAATGCAATTATTAAAAAATATATAAGTAGTAGTTAAAATTTTTGAATACTGACATAAGATTTGGTAGCACTTCTTATAAGCAGCCAAGTGAACATGGCCAATTCATGAATCACTCTATCACTAATTACACTTAGGTATCAAAACTGTTTTTGTGTTTTCAGTGTGTTGCAGCATCAGGCTGGTGAGACCAATCTGGACGTTCCTGCCACCTCGAGCCAGAGCCAGAGCCAGATTCAGCCCCTGCTGAACCGTCTGCAGCAGCTGACAGCAGAATTTCAGAGCGCTCAGACCCAACTATGTCTGACCCAGGAGAGAGAGAGGGAGGCCAATGAGAAAGTGCAGAGGTGAGTACAGACACATGCACGGTCTGTTTTTACATGGGAAAGTTTAATTAACATACCAAAATCATGTTAAACTACCAGTCTATATATATATATATATATATATATATATATATATATTTATTTATTTTTTATTTTTTGCTTTTCACAAAAATATTAATCAGCACAACTGTTTTCAGCATTGTTTTATTTTGACAACTGTGATTACTGTACACTCACAGAAGTGTTATTTTAATATCGTTGAGATAACATTTATTTATTTATATTTTGAATTAGTTTTTATTTTTATATTTCAGTTTTTTTTTTTGCAGTTTTGTTGTGTTATTGTCATTTATATTTTCATGTCTAGCTGTAATAGTTAATTTTTATTTTTTGTTATTTCAACACATCAAGTTAAACTAAAAGTAAATGGCAACTAGGTTTTAAAATATTTTATTTTATTTAAAGTATCAATGTTTTAAATTTTAGTTAACTTAAAAAAACTCTGCTCAGAACAAATGTGCATTTTCGCGCTGGGACAGTACCATTTAGTTGACAACTTTGCACCTACCCCTAAAAATTGCATAGTTGTACCATAGAGTAGTAATATGTAACCTTAAGGTACTACTATGCACCTTTTAGGGGTAAATAAAGTACAAAGTTGTCCATTCAGTGGTGTTGCCACAGTGACAAGCTGTTGTAACTCTAAACGAACAATTTATGCACATTTTTTTCTGAGAGTGAATAACCTGTTATATGTAAAATAATGTGAATTATTAAGATGATTAAAAAGTCCTCCTTTTGTGTTCCAGGGAAAAAAATATATTTCGAGTTTATGGGGCGAGTAAATGTGACAGAATTTGAAACAATGCATTTTCTTGCAGCGAGCCCTCTTGTAGTGATGGTTAGAGTTGAGGTGACAGCTGTTTTGTTCCATAGAGCAGGATAACAAGAGCATCAGCGTCTATGTGTGTGTACAACTGTGATCGTCTGCGGTATCTGCGCCCGGTCGCACCTGACCGCTAGCTGACATTCAGATGGATGTCCTGCACTCATCGGGCTCCGGGTGGCCTGTGGGAAGCCGCTCTGACGTGGGCCTCGTCGCATGACGGTGAGAAGAATGCAGGGGTGATGCGATCGGCCTCCAGGCTCCCACAGCGGGGCGAACCGAGGAGGAGGAAGCCCAGCGCCGGCCCAGAATGTGGCACCTGAGTGCCGTTCCTCCAGGCCCATTGATGGAGGAGCTGAGCTGAATGTCTAATGACCTGCTGAATCAAATTTGGCTGTGAGAAGCGCACAAAGGACCTTTTCATTGGCTCGATGGGCCACAAATGGGCTGCGGCTGGTACGTCCCATCCGGGGTTATTACTAACTACAGGGATATTTACTAAAACTAAAATCCATAAAAAAAATTTTTTTACTTGAAATAAAATATTTATTTTTATTTTATAATTTTATTATATTGATTACAAATTTACTTATTTTATTTCAGCTAGTTGCCAAGGGAACATTTCTCACTTCTCATGTAGTTTAACTTGATGTACTAGAATAACTAAAACTGAAATAAAATTAATAATACTATATAGACATATACAGTATAAATATATAAAAAATTAATAAAAATGACAAAAACTAAAACTTTACTAAAATGAAAATAGAAAAATAAAAACTAATTTGTATTAGTATTTTTACTATATTTTTAATATTTTTAATGTTTATGTAATATGCATATAAATTAAAAAACAAACTTATTTTATTTCAGCAAGCTGCCTTGGCAACATTTCTCATTTGTCATGTAGTTTAACCGGATGTACTAAAATAACTAAAACTACAACTGAAATAACAGTTCATACAAACTATAGACATATATAAAAACTACAAAAAATGACAAAAACGAATTTTGTAAAACGAACAAATTTTGTAAAACTTTGATTAAAATGAAAATGAAAAAACAAAACAAAAATAAAAACGAATTTATACTATTAATAAAAAGTATAACACTGGTACTAAAATAACACTGGTCCCATCATGCTGCTGCCTCACAGGCCTGCTTTTGTGCCATTCTGCATCTTGTGTACCACTAAAAATCCCTCTACAGCGGCCTGAGTTATCAGCATGATCATATAGCATTTCATGCAAGCATTTTTGTCAGATGTCGTCATGGCATAATTATAGATTATGAACAGGATCTTCTTTTGCATTGAAACATGGATATGTTGTCGTGCCATACATAAAGCATGCTGTTGTTTAGAATTTATGCACGACTGCTGTTTACTCTGTGTTATTTGAACTGGAATTGTTGGTTTTGCGACTCCGTGAATTCTTAATCGGGATTTGCGCTTTCGCCGGCTCTTCCCTGGCGTGTATGTTTGGGTTTACGGCCACTCTCTGCAAACAGTGTTCATCAAATCCTCCCCAGCCCACAGGCACACCTTGGAGATCCTGCCACGGAAAGGCAGACCTGTTAATTGTGCAAACATGACAGGGAGGCTAATGAATATATTTAAAACGCTAAAAATTTGCACACAATGGGGAAAGGTGTTTCCGTGCATGTTTATGGAGGAGACAGACAGTCTTGTGGTGTCTGTCTGCATGTTTGTGTGTTTTGGGTGGAAGTGGATTGCGCGTGTGATATGAAGGCTGTTTGCTTGTATGTGTATATATGCTCATGTGCGTGGCCTGTTCATTTAGCAACAGTGACCTTTTATAAATATTAGTCTGCTGTTTTGAACCATGCCATCCCCCTCGTCTTCCCCCCTTTTGCTCCAAAATGATGCATTTCTCTCGGCCACAGAGCGCCTCTGCGAAATGCATATGGTCCTGCGGCTGCTCTTCAATCTCCCTGTACGGGAAAACAGGTGGAGACTTCGGCGGGAGCAAAGCTTGGGTCAGACCACTCCCATATGCTCACTTGATAAGACTGAGAAACCTCAGTAGACAATACTAGCACTGGCTAAGCTAAGTACGTCTTATCAGGATTGCTATGAAGGCTCTGATAGAGCTGGGCTTGCTTTGTTGTTCTAAGACCGCTTGAACTCAATGTTATCGTCTCTTTTTATTTGAAAAAGCCCAGGCTCAGAAACGCCATCGTAAATGTTTAACCACATTCTCTCTGCAGTCACCAGTGAAGCTACTGCTGCCAGCCCTTTACCTCCACACTCTATCTGCTACTCCAAAGGTTTTCTTTCTTTCTTCTCCTCTCGGCCGATTTTTACTTAAGTCTGGTTAAACAAGGGAGATTTGATTGGACAATTACTTTGTGAGGTACTGAGACTTTATTTTCCATAGAAAGCCAGCTATTTTTTTTTTTATCAGGCTGGGGGGGTTTTTTGTATTGGATTTGGTGGCGGACAAACTGGACTATAGATATTAAAATTTTTCCCTAATTAATAAAGGGAGATATAACAACAATATGCAGTGTATCAGATAATACAGTCAGTATTTATGATCATAAATGCTTGTTTGGTATTTACTCTAAAATGTTATTTAATAATTTGTTTCTGTGCTTATCAATTCGTGTTTTTAGATATATAGAAAATAGAAATTATAGGATAAATCCTTGAAATATATTATAAAAAAAATCATCAAATCATATCAAATTGTGCAGTTGTATAATTGTTAAATATGTTTATTTTACATGACTCAAAAAAATGTATCTCTTAAAACCCCCTTATTTATATGTGTTTTACTTTGAGTAAATATGAAATGAAAGTCTTTTTGTGGAGAATTATCAATCCTATTTTTTTCTCTTTTTTTTCAAAATTTGTTTTTAATTAAAATGCATTTTAAAACTACATAATCGTGTTCTAAACACAACTATTCAATCAAACCCATAAGTATGCTCTTTATACACTAAATATTGTGCTGGGTGACATATTTGCAATTATTCTTTACCTTTAATACTTTTTAATGTGTTCTTCAAAATTCTATTTATTGCAAACAATGTTTAAAAAAAATAGCCCAATTAGCATAGTCTAAATTCAAAATATATGATATTAATATTCATTTAGACCAGAGTGAAATTTCGTAATAGCCTAATTAAGCTTATTTGCTGAAGTGAAATTTAATTTAATTGAAGATTCCATAAAGGGTTGTTTGCAGCCCTATGTCATAGAAGAACCATTTTTTGGATTCTCAAAGAACCTTTCAGTGAACAGTTCTTAAAATAACCTTTTTTTATTATTATTAGTGTGATTTTTTTTTTTTTTTTTTTTTATAATCTAAAGAACCGTTTTGCTATTAAAAAAAAAAAACCTTGGAAAGGTTGCATGGATGTTAAAGTTTCTTCATGGAACCTTAGATGCCAATAACGAACCTTTATTTTTTTTAAGAGTGCAATTGAAGACTTTTTGCATTATTCATTTGAAATATTGCATTATTTCAAATGCATTATTCTTATAATCGTTTAATAAATAAATTATACAAAATGTAAAAGATAATAATAATGACAAGTATGCATTAGCCCAATGAAACGAAACCAACTGGCCGTTTCTATCCAAAAGCCCCTGCTGTAGAATAATGAAGACACAAAACACGGAACACCATCGAGGGGAGTGCGAGACCACCAACCTGACATGGTCGATGCATATTAGAGGGCCACAAAGCTCTAATAAACTTCTCCCGTATCATTTTTAATGGAAAAGCAGCTGCTTCTAAAGCTGATGTCGGATAGAGACCTCTCCCTCTTCTCTCTCGCCCTTTGAAAGGCCCTTTCTTTCGTGTGTGTGTGATTCTGAAGGGGTATTGCTTTGCTCTTTTCGTTGGCCAAGCACAATTGTGTTATTGGAGATAATTAATTCAATCCCCATCAGAAGGTATTAGGAGCGCCTTGGCCCTGTAGTGCTTTTCCAAACCCAGAATGAAAAGAGGGAGAAGAAAGGTCTACGGGTAGACCCGCTGATGGGCGCTTTGAACTAAAGGGCCGTGCGTATTGTTGTCGAAATTTAGCTCCATAAGGCTGAAGAAAGCGCCAGAGCTTTTGATGGGGGAACGAGAAATGCCACATAAGTTTGAACGCTGCCTGCAGAT